CTCTTTTGGTCAAATCCAATATATCCCATAAGTTTCTTGGTACAAAATGGTACTGTGATAGAGGCAGTAATTCTCCTCCCAAAGTAATTTCTAATGTTTTCACCGAGTCTTTGGACTTAAGATTTATTAATCTTTATGAGTGTTTTTAATATTCTTCACCTTTAGCATTCTAGTGAAGGTGTATTGTATAGTTTATTCAGGCAGCCTGAGTATGCACTAAAGATACTATGGTTGTCTTACTGGTACTTTAGTATGTAGATTGGTTTGGGGTTTTTTTCTTTTAATTCAAGCAAACTTATTATAATGCCCCTAGCAAATTACTTATTCTATAAAAGATAAGGAAATAATGTAAGAATACATAGCATTGCAAAAAGGTGTATGAAATGTTGGTGCTTTTTTTTCTTTCTTTCTTGGGATGCAGAATATATTTGGGAAGTTAAAGCAAGAAGGACGTATAGCCTCTCTTTCTAACTTTACCTTCCTTCTTCTATTGAAAGACTTTGAGCTTCTCTCTTCCCCTCTGAATAGCTACACAGGTATCACATCAAATCTGTTAGTTCATCTAACATTCACATATTTCAGTGTAAAAACTTTCTTCTTGGATTTAGGGAGTGTCATTTGATGCAGGAAAGGTGCTTGTTATACATCATAGAGGACGTATTACAACATAAGATAGCTGCTGTCTGGCAGAGATGAGTCTTTATACTGCTATTTGAACAACAGTGCAATAACATCCTTTGGTAGGAACCCTGTAAAAATCCCTCCCCTGCATGGCAAGCACTGAAGTCCTTCAGTGAAGCAGTGGGACTGTGTTGAGGTTTGGCATACCGAAAGGGGCACACCTTTAGTTTGCTGATTCTTCTCAGCCCTTTTCATTGGGCAAATTAATTTTTAGTAATGCTAAAAGAGCAAGACAGTGGACTTAGAAGACAAATACGAATGTGACTGAAGGTGATGTTTCTACTTAAAAGACTCAGACCTTCATACACGGAACCCCAGAGCTCATTCAGATTCTTTTTTGTATGTAGTATTTTAAATTTTTCCTTTTCCTATAAGAATAAGGGAAAGATCAGGGAGCTGTGTGCTGTGTTATTGCCATAGGATTACGGAGATGCAAGCAGACCAGAGCAGTTTCTGATTTATGCTGCCTTGTGTTGGTCCCCTACGGCTCATTTCCTAGCAGCAGATAGCCAGAGTACAAAAGCTTGCTAAGGCGTGGCTGGAAATGGAAACGTCAGAAGATGGGCTCTGCCCTTCTGGAAGATCTTTTAGTCAGAGCAGCTCTGCACTGACAGGTCCATCCGCTTTGCTTCTCTCCAGTGTCAGGAGGGAGACAAGACAGAAAACCACACAAATCCAGAATTGAGACTTCTGCATTTTGGCTCCATCCTCTTCTCTCTGCTGACTGACAAAAGCTCCGCGATTTCCTATTCCGGCTCTAGGCATTCAGAGGCGGGTGTCTGGAAGCTTGTACTAAATGGGCTGGCAACCCCTTAGTTTGAGGTTAAGCCTGCACAAAACTGAATTGTTCCTTCCTTCCTTCCTGCAAAGTCATTGCTTGCCCTGTTGGCAGGGCACGGGGGAAAGCTGGCCATGCTCTTGCTGCCGCCTCTCTGCTTTGTGAAGAGCAAACTTAAGAATTTACCAATTTGGTGACAAAGAATACTGTCTTAAGTGCTGTCCTCTAAATTGTTGGAGTTTTGTAACCAAATCAACAGGCTGGTCTTGAAATCTCAGCCACAGTTTTTAGGGATGTTATGTAGCTCCTTTAGGATCACTGAATTAACAATCAAAATACATTTCTGACAGTCTATTTTAAAATATATATTTAAAAAATCCCCTAACCATAGAGTTTCTTTTATAAGCATTTTCCAAGGAAAAATCTCTATGTACATAGCTGTTGTTATTTTTGCTAAGCCACAGAATTTAGTATTTCATTCTTAGTTAATATGCTAGAAAAATATTTACTTGGAGACATAATTCATTCTGACTAATGGGATCAAGCTAATTCAGACCAAAGCTGAATAAAGAAATAAATGTAAGATTGTTTGGGGTTTGGTTTTGTTTTCTGTTTTTTGGTTTGTTGGTTGGGTTTTGTTTTGTTTTGTTACGTTTTTTTAGAATGGTAGAATGCCCTGTGTGAAATTAAGGACAGATAGAAATTAAGATAGGGCAGAAGTGAATCTAAACTAAGCTGACCCATCTGGCTAGCGCTAGTCTCACTAGCCAGTGGCCTGGAAAGAATTGCAGTGGATCACATCCAGCTTACTTTTTTGAGTACTCCTTTGTAGCTAATTAAATGAGAAATGACCATCAAAGTTAGGAGGAAATTAGGCTTTGTTGCCTTGGTGTTTTAACAGCTCTGCCATTATCTTAATTTTACAATGTTGAAGTTCCTCCTCGAAAGCCAATCAAGTCTAAAGCTGTATAAAGAAGTAACTGTTTCATGCAGGATTTTGGTTGTTTGATTAAAAATTAAAATGAAAGAATATCAACATTTTTATCCATTAAGATGTCATTCTGGCCTCTTAGCTGTTGTGCACTGTGGGAAAAAAACAGAGGTCACCTTTCCTGAGAGAGCTGCCCAGATCTGTAGATCCTGGAGGAGCTCAGAGGTACCAGCCTGCCACAGCTTGAAGGTGAGCTGGTCATAGCTCTTAGAGGTGATTTCTTTTTTCTTGTCTGCCTAGGGCAGTCTCCTGGAGGCTGGATTTTAAGACTAGATTGAAAACTAGCTTCCTCAATAGCAGCCTGATAAGCTATTAAGGAACCAACTGAAGCAGCAGCATGGGATCAGATGGTGGCCCATGGCACCCATTCCCAGCTCCCCAGGAGACCCGCCTCCGAGTCCAGCTTTGTCAAGCAATTCAATTTCAACCGAGCTGATTAGAATGAAAAGTAGCTTTTATTTTAGTATTTTTGAGTTATTCTTAGCATCAAACTTTTGTCCTGGAAGTCATGAATGCATTTTTTCCTTTGGTGACTAAAAAGAATTTCACTCAAAAAATGTTAAGGAGAATTCCTGCTTTAAAATGAGATGGGTCTAAGCTGTGTGTGTAGACTGTGGGGACATCTGCTGGGGTGTTGGGAAGTGGCAGACTTCTCAATTTATATTGACAGTGGAATGGTCTGAGCGTGAGAATGCCAAAAATTGTTAATATTGCAGCATTCTCTTGAGGCTGAGATTTTCACATTTTACCTGCAAAGGAAACCAGGTGCCCATATCACAGAATTTCCGTGCTAATCGCTCTAGGAAGAACACTTGAGACCCGTATAAGCACATCCAGACATAACCCTCTTAATTTAAAATCTCTGTATTTTGGTCTTGTAAAAAAATCTGTAGAAGACGAGAAATCTCTGGAAATTCCTTGTACTCCTGGGTGAGCCAAGAGAAGCTGGCATCCTGTGGGGCTGACCAGCTCAGTCAGCCCCGACCGCATAACAGCCTCTGCAGCTTCCTGTGGTACCCTTGGGATGGAAATGCTTTTCTTGCAGCTGGAAATGAAAAATGGCCTTTCCCTCCTGGCTACCAGCTCTTGCAGTGGCCGTCAGAGGACCAGCAGAGGAGCTTCTGTGATGGGACTGGCACAGCCACATGTTGCCACATCGCAGTATTGTGGTCTGAAATGTAGCAGCGGATTTCTTGGTTTTGTTAAAACTAAGCAAAAATGCCATTAAAAACTAATGCCAGCTTGAATCTGGTAGTATACATAGCCCTAAATTGAGCCAAAATTGTCAAATTCATAGAGTTTGGTGGAATTGTGGAAGGAATTCTGTTCCAATACTTCAGTATAGTCTTCATTAACTTGATAAGATTAAGGAAACTTTCATCTTGTCAGTTGGAAAAGATGTGGCTGTGGAGATGATATATCTCTGTTCTGGCTATTTGATCAAAATTGCATCTAGCATTCCATTTTCCTTGTGTACTTCCCTATATATCTGTGTAATCTGCTTCTTGCTCTCTGAAATTGTAAGATGTTTGAGGGGCTTGCACCATCTTCTAGATTTGTGTTTGAAAAATGCTTTTGTAGTGATGTTTTCTGCAGGCAGGAGAATAAAACGAGGGGTGGAGGTGTATGCATTTTAAACTCTTCTGCTGAAATTTTCAGATGCTCGTGTACAGACAGAGGTCCATGTATTTGGACAACTAATATAACTTTAGTGAATTCTGACTCCTCCTTGCCTTGCACTCCACGTTACTTATACTGAGCTCAAATCCTGTTAGCAGCCCAGTCAATGTCAATGATCCTCTATATCCCTTTTTCCTGCATCTGTTGTATTCCATTTGGGAACCTTGTTGGGCATCAGTGGGTGGAAACTGCCAGTATAGATCAGGGTGAAGGTTGTTTCACAGCTGAGTCAATTTTGTTAATGCAAAAATGGTGCGCCAGACATCTGGTTAGAATTATTTTTATTCCATCCTTAAGAATAAATGAGTTAATTACGAAAAATATAGAACAAAATATAGGCTCCCTATAGTCTATATTCACCCCCCATATAGTCTCTCTACTTTTAGATAAGAGCAAAGCTGAAAAATCTATGAGAAACCATTTTTGTTTTGCTAAGTTACGAATTCCCCCCCCACCCTGGCACATCTGTACTGTTTGCTATATAAATATATTTATGCTTTATCATTGTTAATTTTAAGTGTTTGATTAAATGTTATCAGGTAAAACAGCTTTAAGAATACTTCAAAGAATAAATTAATGATGCTTTCTTATAATTTTTAATACAGTGTGTTCTACAGCTGCTATGAATTTAAAGTAAAAATATTGAATTTAATTTACCTACTGCTCAGAGAAATAGATTAGTCCCAAATTATCCTAAGTGTGTTAGGTGTACACAGTGTAACTTTGTCTAATATGGTATTTGGTGATAGACGCAAAAGTAGGAATGAAAATAGGACATGTTAAACCAGATACTTTGTAAACTGATTATCCCAGGATATTAGGTTCCATTCAACTTATAATAAATACCTTTTTCTTTTTTTCCTTACTCAGGGGCGTGCCTCATTAACATCTGAGAAACAGCGTTTTGCCCATGAACATGGTGAAATGAAAAATCTAGAAGATATTGTTAACGATATAAAACCATCTGTGCTAATAGGTAATTTCTTTTACTTTAAAGCAGTGACCTTATTCTTTGTTGGAAAAAAATAAATGGGGATGTGTCTTTGTCTGAAGACAAGATCAAGTTCCTCTGAACAGAGTTTACCTTTGTGTGTTTTTAGAAAACACTAGGTGCATAATGGACTCTATTAAGCAACTGAACAAATAGTAACTATACAAGCATGTAACACTGCTTTCACTCCAAGCCATCCATTTTACAGGGGGAATAATCTGAGTTGGTTTAAACATCTGATAGAGAACGTTGTCACCTTCCTAAATTACTTCTGATTTAATTTGGCTGACGTAATACAAAGAATCTCAAACTTAGACTGAGAAAACTGAGCTAAGCACATGTAAAGCTGTGCAAATAAATATGAGCATGCTGTAGCTGAATCTTCTTCTCCCTCATATTTATGTCCTTAGCCGTCAGTCCTTAGTGCAGACCAACGCAGATGTTATAAAGACTTTTTCTTTTATAAAAGCTGCAGGATTTGGGATCTCAGTAAAGGATTGCTCAGCTCTCTGCAGTTTGGTTATTATATTTCAGTGACAGTTTCAGGAATGTACTGCAAGGAGTCTTAAATATTTTTTTTTCATATGTAAGACTTGAAAATTCATCTATCTGGCTAGTAAAATCAGTCATTAGATGTGGAAAATCTGAAATGCCACAGTGAAAATTACCCTACATTTTAAGAGCTACCTTTTTGACTATGCCTAGACCTTACTGAACATGGTCCTTGTTCAGTAAAATCTGCTTTTGACAATGATCATGAATGAGGTAAATAAAGCTTATATCTTTCTATGCTCTATAAAGTTATGACTGCAAGACAAAGACCAAGTAGTCTAGAGAATTTATTTAGTAGAATACAAGGCTGAAAAAGCTAGTGGAACAGAAAAATAGATTGAATGATCTGTGATATTTATCTAGATAAAGGTGTGTGGATGCTTAGGAAATGTTTGCTGTCATGAAATATTGATGTTTACTGTGTGTCATTTTTTTCATATAAGTCTATGCAGTGTTTTCCCTCAAGGTCACTTTCTCTTATCCCTACTGCATAATGAAGGCTCTTCCAACAGAAACAGCAATGAAAATTAATATTGTGATTTTTTTTAGGTTTGAAGGACATCTTCGTGTGGGCAGCGGGAATCATGGGGAAATAGGCTGATAATCCTTCTCCCAATGTCTTACTCAACTCTGTCTCAGTGAATCCTCATATACATTTCATCGCCTGCGATGGCTCAAGAAAAAGTTTAGTTTAGCTTAACCAAATATAAGAAATTGCAATTTTAAGACCCTCTGCTGGCCTGAGTTTGAATCTCTTTCTATTCCCCCAAGACTGGGAACAACAGCTTTTTTCCTGCTCTTGAAACTCAAATGCTGTGTGGAAAGCAGAGCAGGGAGCCAGGCACTGGCTGTGAGCAAGAAGGAGGCTACCTTCTCTACAAACCAAGTGATAGGGCCTCCCTGGACATAAAGATCCTTAGGTTTACTCCAAGGTCTATTCATCTGTTTTTCACTGAAGGTGTGGAGTGCAAGGACCTCATTCTTTGATTCCCAACTCTGGTAGGTTAGGCAGAAATATAGGTGTATTGACATCTCAAAAAACCCCACACTTTCCCCTTTTTTTTTTGTTGTGAGTACAGTATGGAGAACAGAAAAGCATCTCTGCTGGGATGGAAAGGGAGGCTTTAAAAAAAATTGTTACTGTCAGAGAAGCCTTAGACTCAAAATTGTGATTATTCATCAGCTGAGGCTGGAGATGGCAGAATGATCAGCTGTAGAAGGCAGAGACTTTACTCATCATGTCAGAAAAAAATTGAAATCTGACACATTGGATTTGGGAGGAACCATCCAGTCTGTTGCAGGAGACTTTAGGAGACAGAGTTGTACCTTTCTGCTCCTTATTGGACTTACCTGCAGGTTCAGTGATACATTTCTATTTTATATAAAGGGCCTGAAAAAAGTGAAGTGAGAAATTCACCAAGCAGTACAGGGGTGAATAGGTTCTGCCTTATGTTAGGGATAATACTGAAGTTTCACTGTTGCTAAATCTTTTATAAAAACCTTCATTTTAACCACATGTTAGGAAAAAGGTTGAACTCCATTTTAGAGAAGGAAGTATGCAGTAAAAGGAGCTCTGTTCTTTTAAAAGTGGCATGCATGTCTTTCCTTGAACTAATTGCATTTGTCTGCTTGTTATGTGTGTGTTTTTCTTCTTTAGGAGTTGCTGCAGTTGGTGGTGCTTTTACTAAACAAATTCTTCAGGATATGGCTGCTTTAAACAAACGTCCTATTATTTTTGCTCTCAGCAATCCTACCAGCAAAGCAGAGTGCACTGCTGAGCAGTGCTACAAATATACAGAGGTAACCAAAGATTAATATCTCTCCTGTATACATAGTGAAAAGTAAATCTGAAATTAAATTCAAAATGGGAGGAAGACAGAGGGTGGAGTAGCAAGTACTAATGATGTCTCTGAGTGTAGCTAAAATGAGTTAAATTAAGTAATAGGTTTTTACATTTTATCAAGACATTTTAACTCATTTTTATGAGGGTACAGGCTTGTACCCTCATAAAAACATTTAGTAGCTTTTATTGGTGTCAGGCAAGACTCCTTGTCTTTATTAGAACTGAAGCATCAGTAACTGTCAATCATTAAAGCTTTATGCCTGTTTTTTAAATGTACCACTTTGTATAATATATACACACAGCAGCATGCTTTTCATTTGAGATTTTATAAATACTCTTTAGGGTAAGAAAATACTTCAATACAGGAAATAGACTCTTTAAAATAATTCTTAATAAAGAACTAGGGTAATTGACTCCTTTTACAAAGATTTCTATTATGGAAACATAGGTGAAAATTAAGAGAACGGTACTTGCTTGTTTATTATTGTTATATAGAAGTGCTAATAAACACGTTATCCTGTAATTCAGTCTAGAATTTGAAATGTATAATTACTTGACTGTATGTGTTTCATAGTGGATTGTGTTTGGATTTCTTGTCAAATACAGGGCAGTTTGAATGACAGTTTCACAGTGTTTAAAAGACAAATTTAGCATGGCCGTTCCCCAGCGCACAGTACACAATTACAGCGCAGTGCGACAGCCAGGAGAGTGGCTATAGTTATAGTGGGTAATGACATCTGGTAGGCAGAGCAAAAGATGCACTGAAATATTTGATCTGTCACCAAAACATATAATAAGCCGTCCGTGATAATACTGCATGACACCAAACCAAACCAAATATTCTCCTGAAGATCTGAACAGCAGCACTGGCGTGTTTGAAAATGCACGTTTCCAGTTCTCTAAAACAGGCATAGATATTTCTGATACAAAGTGCCTCCCTCTGAAGTATTTAACAGTGACATTTATCACTTCAGCAGTGCTAGCATAAATAAAGGCTGGCTTTTCTTCCCCACCTACATTTACTGATTAAATTCGAGGGTGCTTCCTCCCCAGCAAGGCAAGAGCCAGGGGCCTGTGGGCTGAGGACATAGAGCCTGTGCAATGTCACCCCTTTCGTTAGTCCAAAACTGCATTGCCTGCTGTAAAAATTACTTCTCTCTCCCTGTGTATCAGGAATGATCTGGGGAGAACCTGGATAGTAGTGCTGCAGGTGAGTCCCCTCTGAGGTGCCTCTTCTGCTGCCCTTGAACAGCACTTGATGGTGCTGGTATCTGCTCCCATCAGGGTGTTCCTCATCCCGGGGGAACAGTGAGACGCCATCAGACTTGCTGCTCCCTGACAGCCCATCTCTCGGTACTCCAGTGGTATCACAGCTCTGAACGGGCGTGCTACTGAATGGCACCAGGCCTAATATTCCTCTTACCTAATGTTAAGCTCTTAGCAACACAAGTCCTGTCGCCACATCTGGGCCACCCCACAGGCTTCCGTCCCTCCCCACAGCTACCTGATGTGTGCTGTGTGCCAGCATGGAGCTACACCTGTGTTTGGGTCCTGGGAAGAGATACGGAGGTCCCATGGGAACTACAACATAAGCTGATTTAGAGCCAGGTCTCTCGTCCTCAGGATGTGTTATGGTGTAACTGGGATCTGTACAGCTAAATTCTCTAATTCTCCAAAACAGGCTGGCTCTTCCGTGCTGCCTACTGGCACCAGTCTGGGCATGGTGCCCAGGGCCTGTCAGCCACAGTGCTACTTGGCACTGCCCAAAAATCTGCTGGGAAACGTCATAGTGGTTTATCGGTATTGGATGATCACACGCTGGTGCCTGAGTTGGTGCCTTCACCCTGCTCAGTATATTACAATGAGGGGAGACACAAGGTCCTGGCAGAGGAGGTCCCATCACCAACTTGTGCTGTAGGTTGCACCATGGGATGATGTTCCTGGGAGAGAGCTTGCACCTGTTGTTCTGTTGAGCTGTGGAGTGGGCACAGGCACCTGACTTGGGAAGGTTGGGATGAACAGAGAGCTCTGCCTGCCCACAGCTCCTCAGAAATCGCCACATCCAAAAGTGCAACATTTAGTGGCCTTAGTGCCATTTTTGTGGGTGATCTGCTGTTGGGAAAAAAATCCAGCAGCATCACCCCTCGTTACCATAACAATACTGTCCAGTTTGTTTCATTACAGCTCCAGGTGTATACCTTCTACCTTCTTCCCCTGAACCCTTCTTCTGGCATGGATGCACAACGTGAATAACGAGTGCTGGCTTTCAGTTCCTCCTCTACATTGTGCTGATAGTTCTTACTTGAATAAGGCAGCTGTTACTCTCTGGCATCAGGTAGTCACAGAGAATCACCAGTGATCTCTAGGATCGTCATCCTGATGTTCGTGAAACGTTTTCAGTCAAACAGTTCTAACGCCCTCTCGGAAGAGATCCTAAATAGCTACAACCCAGCTCCCATGTGGTAGATATTTAAAAGGATAAAGTCTGAAATATTTCAACAGTATCCTCTGAACTAACATGCTTTCATTGGCTTTGTTGTTACAATTTAGGGACGAGGCATTTTTGCCAGTGGAAGTCCTTTTGATCCTGTCACTCTTCCAAGTGGACAAACTCTCTATCCTGGACAGGGTAACAATTCCTATGTGTTCCCAGGAGTTGCCCTTGGAGTTATTTCATGTGGACTGAAACATATTGGCGAGGATGTGTTCCTCACAACAGCTGAGGTATCGTATTAAAAATTATTTAAAGTCCTTAATTTAGTAACTTGGCAATAATGAACAATTAAACAGAAAGAGTTAAACATTATCTTTTAAATTAAAAAAATAGTGCTGCTTTCTGTGTAAGGTCTTTATTTGCAAGATATGTTGTTCTTTATAAATTCTATTTGAACACGTTACTTTTAAAAAGTTAATACTTGGTCCAAAGGTCATCTGACATAAACTTCACCTTCTGTTGGCAAGGCAAAAAGAGAAAGACCTCAGTACTGTATTATCACAGGTGAATGCATGTGTGTACAGTGTGCACATAGGTTTGATTTTAGATTGAAAGGAACTATATTTTGATGTTGGTAGCTTTTGGACTGACTTTTGTGGGTGTTTCGCTTGCAAAAAAGCGATTTGATTTTCTTTTAGCTTTTTACCTTTTTGCTCTTTTTGAGTAGAGCTGTTGGCATAATTTTTTGTGGACCTTCCTTGTCAACAGCTGGTGAAAGTGCTCCATTGCCTTGCGGTTTCTTGCACCACAGTTCGATACAATTGCCATGTTATTCTTCCCATTTTATTTTTTATCCTTTTCTGCATTGGTTCTTTTCTTTCTCCAAACAAGTTTTTTATTGTCTTTGTTCTGACATTACCTAGCCTGTGATCTCTCCTCCTTTATCTCCACTCAGTGGGCAAAAGATGAACAGAGAGCAAACATTTTTGGTTCTAGGAGTCATTCACCACCTACTTCCAGTGTTTGTTCAAAATCTGACATCCACTGTCTTACTGTAGGACATCATAAATGCACAGGATTGTATCATCAACACATGTAGAAGAATCTGGCCTTTATTATTTTAGAATCCTTTATTCAAACAAAATAAATTATCAGAAGTGGTTTAAATCAAATGCTTAATAATTTTTTATTTTTTTTTACAAAAAATCTCCGAAAATAAGAAGTCGATCTTTCTGTAGCTTTTTCTTACAGCTGTTTCTTACTTAAGAAAATTGTAACTTTCTGTGCTTTTCTGGGTCCAGCATCTTTTCTCCTCATCTGCTATAGCATCATTGCACCCTTACCACTCCTGCCTCGCACCATTTCCTTCTCCTCCTCTTCCTGCTGTCTTGGAGTTCCTGTCTCCTCTATTGTCTCTGTTGGCTCTGCTCTCGCCTGGCACCAAGATCAATACAGGACTCAGCTCCCTTCTATCCAGAGTGATGGGGGTTATCCCTGCTCAAACTCCTGGCTACTCAGCTCCCAGGGATGTGTTCCAAAGCTCATCCTGCTCAGAGAGAGCCAGGTTCAGTGACCAGAAAGCCCTAAGCAGTGTGTGATGGTCTGACCATGTCCATGCAAAGTCATTAAAAGCTTGATGCTTTTTGTTTGTTTTTTTTAAAGGGTACAGAAATAAGGAAGAAGGCTGGCCTCAGTTTACCAGGTTAACTCTAACTGACCTTGATTCACTTCAGTGGTTATTTCTACCCAGTCCAGTACCAATTACAATCTATAGAACTTCATGAAAGTGCAGCATCCCAGCCTTCAAAGAGGCTATGTAAGCACACTTGGGAATACATGGGTAGTGTAGGTAGCACACAGAGGAAGCCTCAAAGCAATGAAATCAGCAACTATTATGGAACAATAGGGAAAAAAAAAAAAAGAGGGGGGAAAAAAAAGCTGCACCATTTAGCAGAAGTGAGAATGCCTGACTCAACTCTTGAGCTTCTCTAAGGGATACTGCATTCCAGATTCTTGCTCTTCATGGATTAAAGGGAAGAAAATGGTCCTTTTCTATCAGTGGGAGGCGACTGATAGGCAACGTGATCCTACGACTGCAGTATGTGATATGAAGCTTTCTTAGAGGGTGGGCACTTGCATGCTGCCCTTGTTGGATTTCTGAAGGGGTTTTTTAAGGTGCATACTATGGCATCTTTAAAAAAGTTTGCCAGCAGCTTTCCCTCTATAAGAAAGACATTCACAATTTCCATCTTTAAAATTAGTAAAAAGCCCAGACTGTCTCCACTGGCTTTAACCATCTTAGGAAGGCAATGATCCATCTCATAAGTCTTTGGATAATTATATCCTCCCTCTAAATCCTTCCCCTGTAATTTCAGTTGGATATGGTGATCCTTGCTTGCTGGTCTAAGCTCCTGTGTTAAACATTTGTCTTATTTCATTCTAGAAGTTGCTTCATTTTGGTTTGGGTGAAATTATTCCTATATATAGAGTGCTGATGGTTGAAAGGTTGCACATATGTGGATTGAACTGTTTCAAGTGGCAGTCTACTAAGTCAGAAAAAAAATCTGTTCTGAACAAAGAAATTTGACTGAACAAAAAACCGTAACAGTCAGGGAAGTAACATGGTATCAGAAATTGTGAGGAAGCTTTTAAATTCTCTCTTGAGTTAGAAGCTCTCTCCTAACTCTTATTTTTTGGTAAAGGTTTTGCTACACAATTGCTGCCTTTTAGCAAAATCCCCAGAAAAGTCTGACATGTGAAAATGTATATTTTTTTCTTGCACAGAAAGTCTCTGTTGGCCACAAGATCAATGGGTAGCTTCTCCCCCTACAGCTGGGGCTAAGAGCAGTCACCGCTGGTCTCCACACTCCTGTGAGAGGCAGTGTGGGCTCGGGTGGGCTGCAGCCGGTGACTGGGCAAGGTGACAAGTGATGGATCTTAGAGGAGTCTTTGCCAGAAGAGGTGTCAGGGGTGTGAAGGCCGGGAGGGCTGCCTAGGCCCTTAGCTGAAATTACAGTACAAAGCAAAAGCAAGAGTGCTTTTTATTTTGTTTTCTTCCCTTTTTTAATGGAAGGATGAAATCAAAATAGTTCCATGTGGGTTTTAGAATAGTGGTTAGTATTCTCCATTTGAAATGGAAACACCCATGATGCTGCAAAATTTAAAGCACCAAAACTGTGCATTTTAGAGAGAGGGACCTTCTCAGATTGTAGCAGTAGCTTACCTGAAAAAATAAAGTATAAAAAATAGGCAGCCCAGGCTGCATGGGGCTTCTTGCTTTGCCTCCTCTCCAATTAAATCTGATAAAAATCACAAGCAGCTTATTGTAGCTACAACAAATTCTATTTTCAGTGTTCTTTTCTTCCTGCCAAGTAAAATAGAATGTAACTTTGATTTTGGATGGTAAATCTAAGGTACTGTAAGCTGTAATACCTCTTAACTGCAGGCAATTGCTCTGTGATGACAAGGGACATTACCTATTCTTCTAAGTCCTACCAAACACAACAAAAGAGACAGAGAATTATGAACTAATGAAATATTCTTGGCATGTGTGACCTATGGTTAGGTGACTTCAGAAATATTCCCGTTAAATCCTTTCATTATAGAGAATACGTCCTACAAAAACCAAGATGCCTCCACTTGCTTTATGCCATTTGTCATGTCTTGGCTGCCTTTCATTTCGGTTCTGCAATAAGGCTTAGCTAATTTCTCTATTAAAAACTTGAATTAATTAAAATTTAATACATGAAAATAGTCGCACTGGGTCAGACCTAAGATCCAGGCAGCCCAGTATTTTCCTGTGAAAGTAATCAGTAGCAGAAGCTGCGGAAAAGAGGATAAATAAGGGGAAAAGACAGTGATCCTCCTGCTGATTTGAAATGGCTTCTCAGCTTCTGGCAGCCTGTACTGTATGGCCTCCCTGCACTGGAATTTTTATCCCTGCATGGATTTCTTTCATAAATGAGCCTACTGTCTTTTTAAACTTGTTTATAGATTTGAACATCTTTTGTCAATAAGTATCATAATTTAATTCTGAATTCTGTGGAAAAAGAAACTCTCCTTTTATGATTCGCTGCTGTCTGATGACTTGGGTTCCCTCTAGTGCTGTGAGAAATGTTCCACCTTCAGTTGTCTTTTGTCTTTTCTTTCAGTCTTCTCTTTTTTCCTCCCAAGTCTATTTTTTTATAACTTTTTTATCATCCTTTTTATTCTTTGTACCCCTTATGATTCTACCTCATTGTTGTTCGAAGTGGGTGGAGCAAGGATGCACACTGTTCAAAGCAGTGTTGCACTGCGGATTTGTACATTGGCGTAATTACATTTTCTGTGTCGCTTCTTATTTTCTTAATAATTCCAAATGTTGAGTCATCATTTTTGCCCCTGCCACTGAACTGATATTCTCAAGGAGCATTTTTCAGAGACCGCATGAAGAAGGTGTCATTCTTTTTGAAAATGTCCATTCTATGTTTTTGCATAGTTTTTAATGCTGTTACAGAAGGAACACAGCATGGCATCTATATAGGTATCTGTAGTTAAGCTTTCTATCTCTCCCACTTTGAGCTCTGCCCGAATGTTTTGTGGCTTGCTTTGTATCAACCCCATCACCAAACCGAAGTACTCTGCTCCTGAACCCTTCTTTCAGTGATGCATTACACTAACAGCAACTCGCTGTTCATTTCTTCAGATTTCATCTTCACCTGCCGAGCCCCACTGAACTGTTAACAGCAAAGCTCTCGTGATGTAACCTCCTCTTTACATATTCAAACACTAATCTTGTTTTATCAAAGGGCTGTGTGTCATTTTAAAATAACCTAGTTGTTGTCCTGGAAAGAAAACTAGATTTTACGCTGCCTTAGCTCCCCCTACTGGGTTTTTATCTCTGCTGTATTTCCCAATAGCAGATTAAAATGTAAATAATCATTTTCCTTGACTCGTTACACTCAAAAAGAGTATAATCTCTTATTGCTCTTGCTAGCATTTTCACTCTGAATGGAAAAACTTACTACACCTAACAGCATGCTGGGTAGATTGCAGAAGAGAACATTGGTTTTGAACCTGGAGTTACTATAGTGTTTGCTTTTAAAATCATACTATTTACCTACTTCTGCATCTCTTCTGACGTGGTACTCATTGTTTGCAAGCAGTGTACACAGAGTCCTGTTTCCCACACGCAACAGGAACTGTAAGAAGCAGTTTGTGCTCCGTTTCAAGTATCTTCCCAGTTTGTTCCCTCAAAAGTGTACTTACTTTCTCTTTGGGCTATGTTATCAGTTTCATTTCACAGTGTTTCCTGGACTTTATTGGTGTTTTTAGAACCTCTTGATGGGTCATACACAGCTCCACCAGAAGCTGTCCAGACCAGAGTTTTCCTTACATCTGCAGAGTACCCCTGCAAGTCACATGGTGCAGTAGTTTCCCCAAAGTCTTGGATCAGTCAGTGATTTGGTTCTAACCTTTTGTTGTCTAAGCTGTTATTGCACAAAAATCTATCATTTCTCCTGGCAGGAACACTAGAGGTGTCTCTATGTTACTCTTCTATTTTGCATCAGAATGGTCTCCTTGAGCACATCTCCCCGGTGTCCCTACATAGTCCACCCTGGTCCACAGTGTGGCATGGTCTTGGGAGGAGAGGGGGACTGATTTCCTTTGGGGTGAAACTAAATGGAAGGATGATGCACTCCAGGAGCAAGCCTAGTGTACTAAGTACCAGTGGAAACTGCTTATAAACTGTAACAGATTTAAAAAGTATGAGCTTGCACTGAACAAAGAACCTCCTTTCCTTGTGAGTGTTACATGTTCCCAGCAGTTCAAAGGGCAAGTGACATCCCCTCCCCGGAGCCATTTCCTTTCTGTCCCAAAGCAAGATAAATTTGAAATTTGGATTCTGCTGATGCAAATCTCTCTTATATTTTTTTAATAATTTGTTTTGAGAATTGTAGTAGAGAATGTTAGTGAGGGTAGCTATGAAAAACTGCATAGTCAGAATATTTTTAATATATTAATTTTGTGCTTAGTTTGCTTAGAAGATACTTAGATTTGGGTCTAACTAGCAGCTCCCCAGAAGGTACAAAGGGTGGGCAGTTAAAAAAAATGAAACCTTAAAGTCCACTGAAGAGATTACAAAGTAGAAGACAGGTTAGCAAACTGGCAGCAGCTGATTCTCAGGCTCAGCAAATCCCAGCCTGGATCACCCTGAATCTGTTTTCTATTTCAAATCCCCAAAGGACCAACACATTTTAACTAATGAC